CCCCCCCCCTTCAAAGTCCCCAAATACCTCTCTTTTTCTCTCTGACTAAAAACGGAGAAAGGGGTTCCCCGTCAGCTGAAACAACAAAGTAATAATTAATTATCTTTTATTTTCGGGCTGTATAACCAAAGCAAAAAAAGAGAACTTAAGACATTATTTCTATCTCAGTCCCACGAACAAATGAACGAATACGACACAATAGTAAAGCCAGCCGTCCCCAAATCAATTTCGCGCGCGCGCGCGCGTGTGTGTGTGTGTGTGTGTATGTGTGTGTGTGTGTGTGTGTGTGTGTTAACAAACAGGCTCCTACCAATAGTACAAAAACAGGCCGCACCAATGAACGAGGAACTGCCAGGGTGATAATGAATAATAAATTGCTGCTCGCTGATTGGTCAAGAGGTTCTGTGAGAAAGTGCAGACTCGGTGTGCATTGTTCCTCGCTGTGGTGATATATTATTGTGTAAACAGGTAGATCTACAGCTCTGAGATCTCAATCAGACGTGCAGCTGCGAGAGCAAGATAATGCGTATTGTGGAGGTGTCTTTGGTCCACCCGACACACCAGTTGTTCGTGGGCTCATGTGTTTATATTTATTTTATAATATGTAGACTCTATGTAGTGCACAGAGGCCAGACAGGAACACTTTTTTAACAAACAAACGAACAAGCAAACAAAATGCTGGGGATTTGGGAACCTGGTGGGTGAATGATGAAGATAACAGTAATATTATACGAGTAGCCTATAAAATTGTATTTTTAGTTTGTTCTTTGTTATTTTCCATTTTCTATTATATGTTTATCAGTTTATTATAATGGACTATTTTCTTCTTTTTTTAATGCGCTCATCATCTAAAATTGTTGTTTGTGTTGTTGCTGTAGGCACTGCCGTTTTTAAAATGGGTGGTGCACAAAAATACTGATTGGCTCATCTTATTTTGGTTTTTACCCCTCCAGATATCTGCACAAGAGAGCAGAAGGAAAAAGAAAGAGTATTTAGAAGCTTTAGAAAAACGGTATGTATTGAAAATTATAATGTGACTGTTTTATGTGGACTGTATTCGTGTGTATGGTATGAAAGTAAATGCATTAAAACTAACATTACTTATGTGAGTATTCAGCTTACTTGTCCAAGGCTGTCACCTGTACAAACAGCTTGTGGGTGGTTGGTGGGTGCTCTGGTGTGGTTTGCTCCTTCTTTCCTATCAAAAATTTATTGTCCTAATCTCTCCTTCTTCTTTTTTATGTTTGTTACTCTCTTGTAACACCTCTATTCTTCAGCACTTTTATGACCTTTTCGTGTTGCAAGAGCCGTAAAACCCTTACTAAAACTGAAGCTACTAAAACTAAAAACAAACAGCTTCCCATCCCCCCACGCACCCCTTGCATTACAAAAAATATAACGGCACTGTCCAGGGCGTCCACCTGTCTAAGACAACCACTTTTCTCCTCAACAATGGCTGTCTCTTTTGGACAATTTCAGCTGTATGAAATGCGGAGTTGTCGTCAACGGAGTTGTCGTCAACGTCTGACTTTCTGGATATTTATGGGGCCAGTCTAATTGAATGCTTGGGATGAGGCTTGATTGTTATCTCAACATCAGCTTTTGCGTACCATGTTGTTCATTTTGTGTGTTGGGAGGGTGCCAGAATTGTTTTACCACCTGTTTGTCCATCATCCTTGTCAGTTTGTCCATTTATAATGATTATCTTAGAAGGCCAAATTGTTGTTTACGTCGTAATAAGCCCCCATGGGACCAAATCCAGACTAGAACGAATGGTTGAATGACTTTCTATCTGTTAACTTCAGGTTTGTGTTATTTTTCTGTTGTTTTTATTATCTCTTGCTTTTCATTGGGTTGGAGGGTCTACTGATTTTTTTGTCTGTCTGTCATACTTTTTCCCAGCACTAAATGGCCATTATTGTGTCAATGTGCTTCTCTTTACTCAATCAAAGGTACAAAGATTTTCATTGGATGTTGTACTGATTTCATTATTCTTAATATCATTGTGATTCAAACTGAGTTGGTGAGGGCGTAATGGTGTAGTAAGCCGTATGTTCATCATTCAATTTTACTGCGGTCACTTGTTGTTTCTGTCTGTCTGTCTTGCTCTTTCTCTGCACTAAGTTTCCATTTTTGTGCCAATATTCTTCAAACATGTTTGTCCGTGGCCTATACCCTGGTGCACTGTGAGAAAGGCAATGATGATGATTCTTCAAACAAAAACAAAGTAGATTTAAAATGTTACTTTTTGAGGTCAAACTATGTGTTGACGTTCTTTGATGTTTCTTTTTTTTTTTCTCCAGAGTGGAGGCGTACAACCATGAAAACAACGACCTCAAGAAGAAAGTGGAAAGCCTGGAGAACAATAACAGGTAGGCTGCTCGCATTGCTGTCTCGTCTCACTTGATTATCTGTCTGATTGGGTTGGTGGGTGGTTGGCAGGTGCTCTGATGTGGTATGCTCATTCTTTCCCATGAAACGTCTGTCATCCTTATCTCTCCTCCTCCTTTTATTTGTGTGTTGCTCTTTAGTAGTAACACCTGTAATCTTTGACACCAATGTCACTATAAACTATTTGTGCCATATAACTTTTACTGAATCGAAACTGAACGTCCTACTTCTATGCCTTTTCACAATTGTTACTGTCTGTTTGTCCTCGCTTTTCTCTTGCGTTATATATCTGTTGTCGTGTCGATGTGATTCTTTTTACTTTAAAGAGCGTATAATGACTGACATGCACGTGACTTGTGGGTCATTGGCGGGTGCTCTGGTGTGGTTCGCTCCTTCTTTCCTATCGAACATCTATCGCCCTGATCTCTCCTTCTTCTATTTTGTGTTTGTTACTGTCTTGTATGACCTCTACCCTTTGAAACTGATGTGACCTTATTCCGTTGCAAGTGCTATTAAACCCATACTGAATCTAAAACTTGCCTTTTGTCTGACAGTTTTGAGCATGTTGTTCTTGTGCACAGAATGTCTGTTATGTTGTCAATGTGATTCTCTGTACTAGAAAAGCAGTTGGTTGGCGAGTGCTCTGTTGTGGTTTGCTCCTCCTTTCCTATCAAATATCTATCGTCCCAATCTCTCTTTCTTTTTTGTGTCCGTTACTTTCTTGTAACACCTCTAATCTGTGGCACTTTTATGACCTTATTGTGTTGCAAGTGCCGCAAAGCTCTTACTAAAACGAAAATACTGACGACCCCCCCCCCCCCACAACAAAAGAAAAAATAAATCCCAAAACCCCAGGAACATATTAACTGACATGCGCACGTCCTTTCTATCTCAGGTCCTTGCTGGGTCAGCTCCAGAAGCTGCAGTCCCTGGTGAGCAAGATGCCCAAAGCCGCTTCAGCAACACAGACGAGCACTGCCCTCATGGTCAGTACCGACGTGGTCATGTCTTTGTCACTCTGGTGAAAAATGAGACTTAAAATCAATGAAAAAAGATTGAAACTCCAAAGTTTCTCTGAAAGGTTTACTTACTGTTTATTTGTCTTTCTCAGATTTGGGTCTTCCTTTATCAGCCTGGGGAAAGCATGGAAGGTTTTCATTCAATAGAATATATTACTGTAGTGCTCCCTCTGAAAATGGTTGTGCTGTCTTGATGTCAAGACAATATTTTTTTAATTAAAAAAAAAAATTGGGGGGGGG